TCCCAGCCCAGCTATTTTTGAAGTCAAGATAAGCAATCTTCCAACCACAAAACTTGCTCCAAACTTGCTCCAAGGAGTCAACCCAACTCCCGCATGCGCACAAAGCCTTGAGATGACTATACGACCTTCCTGGGGTGGCGGTAGTGAGCAACACTACCGTGCTGGACCTACTTGGCAGGTGCAGGGGCCACAAGCCCAGAACCTAGGATGGGTATCACTACCATGAGGTAGATGCATCAGCTTCAGTTGATTCAAGCATGCTCTCAGAAGCATGCAAACAACTCTACGATCAATACCAAAGGAAAAGTTGCATTTCACTTCAATGAAAATGCAACAATTATCTCTTTTTGGCTAAGGGACTGTGTGGTGGAGCTGAGCTTTGTCCCAGACAGACCTCTCCCTAAGTACACTCTGCTTGGCATGAAGCATCATAAAAACATGTCTGTCTGAGAGCAAAACCAACTCTCATCCCTTGACCACACATCCACAGTGACAGACATGAGAGGCAAGATGAACTGAAGGGAAGGCTGAAGTTTAGAATCTGCTAAATGTAATCCACAAAATGTCACTGTGTGTGCATAACTAAGAAGAGTCCCATGTGGATTAACTGGGAATTGCCAGCATCTGGACTCCCTGTAGATCCCACAGCTACTATACAGGACGTGTTGCCTTGGTCACTCACAGACTGGTTAGGAGAGAATGAGCTCCTGCAGCACGGGGCATTATAACAATGCACTAAAGGGCACCTTCTGTCTCCTTTCATAGACAGGCACACTGGACAAATGGGACTCAGTCAGGAGGTCGCTTTAGGTACCTGCCAACAGTAGAAGTATCAGTAAATGTCTTCACCTATCTTAGCAAGTTATAAACGTTCCCACATAAATTTGTTTTTAAGCCACCCAGGAGAACTGCATTTCAGCCCAAGGAAGGAGCCATGGCCCCCGCTGTGGTTTGGAGCACTCTTTGGGGAAAGAACAACAGAGAGACAAGCCCCTCCCTTTGCTGTCTTTCACCGGCTCCAGCTCCTAAATTACACCTTGTACTAAACTGCCAGAACCACCAATTTGTTAGAGAAAGTCTTAAAAAGATAAATTCTTCACTGTATACACTCAGCTTTATAATCTCCTACTCCCGTCTCCCAATAAAGCTTTCAGTTGAGACTTATGATGAAATGAGTGAAGTTTATTTAACTGCAGAATTTTCAGCTGAAACAACTGTTGGTGTTTTTCCTTCAATCTCCTGCAGAACACAAATTTATGTGCCTACAAAGTAATAACGCAGAGTCTTAAATTTAATCAGAAGAAATATTTCACCAGTGGCAAACTGATACATTATTTAGAAAAGGGCTCAACTGGCCTGGCAGGGAAAGCTGGGCCCAAGTCTGGTCACTTCAGAAAAAATATCACTGTCATAGTTTCTCTACATTCCTTCTTAACCCCAAATCACCTTATCAAAATGTTTAATCTTGAATAGTTAAAGCTAGAAAAGTAAGGAGGAAAAAGTAGAAGCATTTTAGCACCAGGAAGGAGATCAGGTCAAGGCCCTACTCCTATGACGTGGCCAGGTTTTCAGTGGTTGATCTTCTGCACTTCCTAGATGGGACTGAGATAGTGGGATTCCCTAGCTTGTTCCTACCCACAGCAACGTGGAGGCATGCGAGGATTTCCACAAACATTAATGAAACTAACTTCATTTCCAGTTGCCCAACCTTTGTGAGTCTTGCTATAAAGGATAGAGAGAAAGAGAAAACCAGATCTATGGGCATCTACATCAAAGGTCTAGAAATTTAATAATGTTCCCATTGTTTTATTGCAGATGCACATCAACCTCTCTTTATTACTGCGGAAACCTCGAAAGCCCTGTAGAGTGCAATAACGTGGTATGTGTTCAGCTTTGCAATGTTTCAAAGGACCCTGATTTACAGTCAGGAACCAGGCACCTTGCACACAAACATCTGAGCTTGGTAACTGCCTAATGTTATGTGCAAACTCTGTGAGGCAGCATGAGGCCTGTCACACACTGAGAACCACACTATGGGATGCCAGGCCTCCCTCCCTCTCCTATAACCCACGTGAAGTTAGCAAAGCAGAGAAGTGAGCCACTTGCACCAGGGCATGGACTAGTACTGCCCAGTGCACATGGCACAGTCCCATGACTGACATCAGCGGCAGGCAGGTTTCCTGCTGCATCCACTACCTCAGGCTTATTTCCAAGATAGATAAGTCTCACTAACGGTTTGTAGCAGCAAAATTTTAAACGTTTTTATCATACTTAAAAATGAATGCAATGGTCTTGGCATTCAAAAAAGAAAATATTAAGTATTCATTGTTGTGGTTCTGCTGCCTGAATGCAGGCAAAAGACCCCACTCTATGTGCATGAACTGCTTCTTTCTAGGCTGCAGCTGTACTTTATTCCAATTCCACTTTACAAACCAACCCAGATGGAATCCCACCTGCACTGGTACACCAACACCTTTCCCTAAGCACCCTGTAATCTGCAAACAGGGAATCTCACCAGCCCTTTGAACTCTCTCTCCTTCAAAAAGTTATTTTGCAGATTCATTCTTTTTTTTTTTTTTTTTAAAGAATAGATTTTTTTTTTTAAGATTTTATTTATTTATTCCCCGCCCCCCCGCCCCCCCGCCAAATCCCCAGTAGATAGTTGCATGTCATAGCTGCACATCCTTCTAGTTGCTGTATGTGGGACGCGGCCTCAGCATGGCTGGAGAAGCGGTGCGTCAGTGCGCGCCCGGGATCCGAACCCAGGCCGCCAGCAGCGGAGCGCACACACTCAACCGCTAAGCCACGGGGCCAGCCCTGCAGATTCATTCTTGAAATCTCACTGACTTTAACAAATTTTCTCAGACTAACCGTCTACCCAGAGGACTGCACTCCTTTATATGGATGCTCACCACCTGAGGTTAGCCCTCCCACTCTCATGGGAAGGTAATTTTTCAATTCTACATGTGATCCTACACTGTCATTTTTGGATCTGCAATCATTTCCCTTTATACAGACGTTGCCTGCCTTACGTGGTAATGCCTCTTCCAGAGGCCATGGAAGAGATTTGCTCTTAGACAGATCTTCTACTTTACAAGATTCCCTTTACTGTCAGCTGGTGTGAACTAGCTGATACCTACCCAAGCTAAACTAATAATAAAGCTAGCAGTATGTCAACTCTTAGCACTTCAAAAAAAATCATAAATCATGCCAAATGAAATAAACATACAATATCCTGAAATATTAAACATGTATTCTGAAAGACTGTATCTTTTTATGTAATAATTCTTTAAAAGGAAGAAAGTAATTAAAACAGCAGAGACACATTCTATGAGGAATACAGTTGGTAGATCTGAATTTATCTGGTTACAATCTCTTTCAAACAAATGTATCCAGCAAAAGGCAAAAGCATTAAGTCAAACCCAGGAGACCGGCAGAAGTAGCTAAGTCAGAAAGGCATTCTTTTAAATTTAAATAGCGCTGGTTCTCAACCTTCTAGATGCCAGTGACGTCATGTCTTCCGATGTTACCTGTGCGTGTCGTCCCACGTGGACTGAAAGGGCTGTTGGCGCCACTCACTCACCCTTAAGTGCCTGTCTAGCCTTGGTGAGATCCTGGAGTACCTTCAAAGTCTTCAAAGAAGATATTTACTACTGATAACACCAGGCACCTCAACTATTTGTAAAGGAATACACCATCAAAATATCTCTCCAGTCCTCATCCAAGCCCCAGACACATCGCATTCTCAAGAAAAAGGCTACTGAATTTTCATATAAACCATCAAGAGGTAACGAATTTGATGGAGGAAAAAGCAAGCCTTTAGGCATAGAACAAAATCGCCACTAAGAAACTGCCTTCTAAAGGAATAAGAGCCTATTATTATTGATTTGACAAGTTAGAAATGCAAAGCACAGTTACACCCCGAGATACAAAGATGTTTCATAACCGTGAGTCACCCCAGCACTATGGGCAATGGCAGAAATTACTTAAGGGCACCGTTACAGGTAGGAACAAATCATTTCTGGCTATTCTCTTCTCTTAGAATGTAAATAATGTACAAAGAATTCCTAAATTCCAGATCATGTGGAAAAATGATCCACATATGAAAATCCCAAGCAGGTAGTGTTCACCGGGGTCTCTAGGGCATTTGCTTCTATGAGGCATACACCCAAAAAGGAAGAGCAAAGGCTCACAGGAGGCATGCAGGCAAGGCAACGCAAACCAGCCTTCCCCATCATGCCCTTGAGATGATTCCAGACCCAGCCCACCACATAAAGTTGAATGGAAAGGCACCTCCATAAACACGCCAAATTTCTAATTTTCTATTAAAATTATTAAATCCTCAAACCAGTTAATGAGAAAGGCTAAAAGAAATAGGTCTTTGGGTGGTTTACAAATAACTTAAGATCTTAAAGGCAGTTTGACACAGTTATCATATTCCATGCCACTTCTCTTTAAAAGAAAAAAAAAAAACTGTACGATATAAGCAACAAAAGACATAGTAATTGGTAACTGGCTCCCTAAAAAGAACTTTACCTTTTGAATCAAAGACAAGGCATAAATAGGTGTCATCTTTTGAATGTTGAGAGCTTTTTTTCTCAACTGTTTGAAAGACAGGAAAAATAGCTCTAACTAGTTGAGATTGCAGAAAAGTTACTGAAAATACATTTCCTGTGCAAAAAAGACCCATCATGATTTAAGAGTAACATGAAAAAAATGCTTTTTGTTTTTTAAAGATTTTGGAGGAAAACAGGCAAAATAAATAACACACTAGCCAATTCCTGACTCACATTAGTTCCTGTGCTGTCATTAGGAAACAACAGAGCACATCAACAGACCAGAAGGGGACATGCAGGTGTGCAGGGAAGAGTATCCAGTAACTCAATGAGATGAGGGGACGATCTGTAAAAAGTGCTCGCTTGGATTCAAAGACTACTTAAAACCAAGGAACTGAAGTTTTCCGTAAGAAACAAAGAGAAAAGCAAGTAAAGAATGCTTACCCTTGGCTGCCAGTTCTCATACTGCTTCTGTAAATTTGCACCAATGGTTTCCAGAGCTTTCTGAGGACCCATTGACAGAGGATCTGAGGAAGCAAAGAAAAGGATAAAGTTCTTCATATGTGCATTTTCTCCTCTGCTAAGCCTCTCCTTCAGAGTTCCCACTTACATAATTCACTTCAAAGCCACCTTTGACTAAAGATGGCACAGTGGGGCCTGAGGTTTCTCAACCTCTCCCTCTTAACCAGAGCCTTCCCATGGGGCATTTTTTTTTTTTTTTTTTTTTTTTTTTGGGGGGACCCCCCCCTTGCTACCCTCATCTGCCAATCCTCCTCTTTTGCTGAGGAAGACTGGCCCTGGGCTAACATCTGTGCCCATCTTCCTCCACTTTATATGGGACGCTGCCACAGCATGGCTTGCCAAGCAGTGTGTGGGTGCACGTCCAGGATCCGAACCTGCGAACCCCAGGCCGCCGCAGCGGAGCGTGCGCACTCAACTGCTTGCACCACCAGGCCGGCCCACCATGGGGCTTCTTAAACTCAAAGTTATGCACATATACTTAGTTTAAGAAGTCAAATAGCATCATAAGGCTTTAAACAAAACAGTAGCAGTCCCCTGTCGCCCTATCCCCATGCCAAGCCCCACTTCTCAGAAGCAACCACTTTCAACTCCATGAGCCGTTGCTTCTGATATTTACCACCATTTTTCTAAAAATATGCTTATATTGCTATTTTTTATTTTCATTGTAGATATCAGCAACAACCCTTCTACAGAGGACAGGATTGTCCTCTCTTCCACCCCCATCCTACTGCCCCTTTCCCTCCTCTCCCAACAGAGTACATCACATTTTTATTAAATTAAGATCCAGTGTCCACGTTGGTGTGCCTGTGGAAACACCACTCAGTGCTGAGCCAGTCAGCATACTCAATGACACCTTTCCTGTCTTGTGTTTCAGTCTCCTTGTTTTCCATGCACTAACACTAATTCTGCCCCAACTCCCCCAAAGTACCCCTCTCAAATACTGTCCTCCACGCAGTTAAGTATATCAGCTAATCTCTTCCCTTTCCCTGGCTACCCACTGTACAATCCCACCTTGGCAGAGAATGTAAGACTCCTCTTTGTGGAAATGGAACAGCTCCCAAGAAAAGAGTCTCAAGGAACCCGGGGACGATTACAAAAGGTCTAACGTTTGTGTCATCGGCATCTCAGAATGAGAAAACTAAGTGCAGAGCTCAAAAAACAGTTGAAGATATAATGCCTGATAATTTCCCAAATGTGGCCAGAGACATAAACATATAGATTCAAGAAGCTCCGTGAACCATAAACAGGATTAACCCAAGGAAATCCACATCCAGACACATCATAATCAAATTGCTAAAAATGAAAGACAAAGAAAAGTCCTTAGAGAAAAATCAGATCACAAACAAAGGATCAGGAATGAGAAAAGCTCAGGGATTCCCAACAAGATTGAACACTGGACAAAATAGAGCAGTGCCTTCAAATCTTCTGTGAAAGTAATTCCAACCTGATATTCAGGTTTGAGGGTAAAACAGAGGTCTTTTCAGACATGCAAACACTCACAAAATCTGTGCCTCATGTTCCTATTCTCGGGAAATAAACAAAAGAAGGCAACAAAGGATCCAGGAAACGAGAGAGAGACAGAGACAGAGAGAAAGAGGAAGAGAGAAAGATGGGGTGGGGCGGGGGGAGGAGAGTCCACAAGATGCCCATGTACCAGATCTAGAGACCAAGGAGTCCAACGGGAGCTAAAGGGGTGTTTAAAAAAAAAACTAATAGATTATCTGAGCACTGGAAAAAATTATTGATAGCATTTGACAGATCTACTGGAATATATATAAAAAATAAAATAAACTCAAGTTCACAGAAAATTTAGCAAATAAAAGTAACTAGCAAATTTCCCTGTAGTAACTACAGGGAAAAAAAATTATATATATAGACAAGAAAAGAATCAATCAGAATACCCCCTTTGGGAAGGGTGGGGGCGCAAGACAGCTTTTTCTTAATCTACTTTTTAGTACTATTTGATTTTAAGCCTCATGCATGGGTTACTTTGATAAAAAAATAAAAATTAATTATAAAATTAAGTAACAGGATTTTAGAGCTAGAAGGGACCTTTACCATGGGTATGTCAAAGTCATCAAGGACTTTTCAAAATAGAGATGCCAGGCCCTACCCTAGAGCGTCTAAATCAATAGCCTCAGGAGAGCCCAGTCAGCTAATGAGCACCTCTGGCTGAGGAGAACCTGGTGAAAATCGCGTTATAACTAACTTATCTGGAAGAAGTATGGTAAACTTGTTTTAATCCATAACTAAATAAATTAGCCATTAGTCTTCATCTCTGTTCTGGTAGGAACAGACTGCTACAGTCTCTCAAGAATTATAATGACCCCAATCAACTCTGCTATAATCTGAATCACAAAATTGGCAAGAGACAGGAATGAATTGGGATCTGAAAAACAAAAGTTGAGGGTCACCTAAGTGCATAAACAAAGCAAAGGGAAGCAGAACATAGCTTAAACAAATAGAAACCATGCAAACAGCTGGCAGTGCCCTGTGCATGGTGACCAGCAGAGTCAATGCAAGAGCTGGTTTGAAAGCAGCTAATTCATCCACCTACAATTCTGTGGAGCACCCATGTGGTCAGTGCTCTGACTGTAATCCACGCTTAAGAGAAAGGAAATGGTTTCCTCTGTAAAAGGATAAAAGGCTTGTCCAGAAATCACACTGATCAGTGGCAATTCTTATGCATGCCCTCTAAGAAACCACGACAAAGGGAGGGAGGGAGTTCCAAAGGGACTAAAGCTCCACCTCCTCCTTGAACTTCGCCCCTTGGAAAGCCCAGGCCCTCCACCCCCACACCATCCTCTCACCGGTGTTCCCAAAGAGGGCATGTCAAAAGCGTCCCAGAGTTGGAGAGAGCCGCTGCCATACTTCTCTGTGCATCTCACCAACTTTCCAGCAGACACCAGAAACCCTCATTAGTAGTGGCAGCTGACAGCAGCACCTGCTCTTCTTTCCCTGGTCTTGGATCAAAACACCTGCCCACCCACGGAAGGGGCAGGGGCAGCCACTGGCCATTCATCAGGCTGTGATCAACTAAGTGGGGCTGTCACATTCTATCTACTGGGAATCCCTGAGGTCAATTAATTTTATGGTTTCCTCCCAAGAATATGACAGTGAGTGGGAGAGGGGAAGAAATAAGAGAAAGAAGGGAAGAGAGGGAAAGAATGAGGACAACTAAAATGATGTGTTTAATACCACATTAACTAAAATGAACAAAACTAAATAATTTAAATAAACTAAAATTAAATTCCTGGATGGATATTGCTAACAATGTTATCAATCTGATGTGGGGTGAAGCGGACAGAACATAAATTTAAAATTGTAGTTCTGTCTTAATAAAAGTCTGCTAATGCCTTCATAGGCTTCTCTTTAATGAATGAAGTGGGTGGGTGGAAGGATGGATGGAAGGGAAAGTAGATGGTAACTGGCATCTGTATAAAATTTTAGCTTTTCATAAATTTTCCCATCTGCATGCTTTTTGGCATAACCCCTCTGTATTTCATGATGCTTAGAATTTTACATTGACAGAAACTTAGTCCAACCTGCCTCATAACACAGAAGAGAAAGCTGAAGTTTAAAGTGGTCAAATGACTTGGTCCAAGATCACAAAGGCTATTGATGGTGCTCACATTGAGCCAACCTGAAAAATGGAGCATTTTTTTACCTCCCCATCATCTTCACACACACAATTCGATCACCATGTTCCATCCGTTTTTTCTTCAAAAGGGCCTGCGCTCCATCATCAACTACTAACGAGTTGGTCGAAACTACAGCACCTCGGGCTGACACTACTGGGACTCTCCTTCCTCCTTGCTGGGTTCCTGCAGGAGCAGGGCTCTACTGACCTAGTCTCCTCTCAATCCACCCTGAGATGCGCATAGGTGAACCCTTTTAAAGTAATGCTCCTGTATGTCACTCCGCCCCCTAAAGCCTCCAGTGCCTCCTGCATGCTCCCACTTAGCTAACATGCAAAAAAGGCAAAACTAACATAACTGCCAGGAGAGTGGACAACTGGAGGACAGGGGGTGACTGGAAAACGACAAGAGACTAGACTGGGCTTCTGGGTCACTGGTAATACTCTTTCTGGATCTGGGTATGATCGGTTTGAGAAAAGCTATAAACTTCACACTTGAATTTCAAGTGCGCTTTTCTGTATGTATGCAACACTTCAGTACAAATCTAAAATTAAACATGCAGAGCTCACTGCTCAAAGAACATTTGTACTTCTTTGTAGCTTGTATTTAGTGGACATTTCATAAGTATTTGTTAATTGACTTATTAACTAACTGAGTACTGCCTACTAGATCAAATGCAAATTTCTCTGCATGGCTTTCAAGGACTCTGCCACTAATTCGTGTGTAACCTTGAGCAACTAATTTTTGATTGAGAAAATACATAATGGCATAAGGGCCACTTTGAAATTAGAAATGGTTTTTAATGGCTCTGTATTATATTAGCCATAATATCATCTACATATATTTTATAATTAGCAGCACATATAGTGAGAGGCATTTCATTTTACCGAGCTCGAGTGCAGAGGTGGGAGCCCCCTAGCTGGATGGCTCCATGGCAGTAACACTCTGGCTAACGGCTGGACCGCAGCCCTCCCAGTGCCTGTGGGTCTTAGGATGGGAGCCATAACCCTACAAGAGCCTTTTCTACAATCCAGCCCTGTCCTAACTACTCAGCATCACTCCCCACATATCCACAAAATAGATTAAGTCCCTGTGCTGTCTATTGGTGTTACACAAGCACCAGGAGCTGGATGGATTTTCAACAGAAATGATGGGGATGGTTAGGATCCCCTGCTTTATAATACAGGCCTCAACATTTACAAAAAAGTTACCTTGGATAGTAGAGAGGGAGGGAGGCTCCAAGCAGTTACACAGTCCTCCTTCAGGGGAAACAGAGATACTACTATGAGAGGCCAGAGTCACTGGACAGAGAAAACAGGGTTTTAAACCAGAAGCCCCTAAGAGCAAAGGCTCTGGCTACAAGCACA